CAGTCCAAATACGATGGCTAAGAGAACCATTTTCATTCCCTTACTGCATCACAGAGTAAAATGACCTCACAGCTCACATTGCAGCCTAAAGGGACTGGGTGGGAAAGGGATGGAAGAGAATGAAACACTGTCATCGCAAGTGAGGCACCCCAGGAGATGTTTTACAACTGTGGCATCACACACGTTCCCACAGCCTTCATGCGCCCGTGCAATGTGGGTGCCTCCTTTCTCTAGTCTCATTCAGCTTATTTCTGGTAATAGAAACACAACATTCCCATTAACTCAAAAGTTGAAGATTTTGAAAAGGAAGAAAAGTTACTGCCAGAGAGAAAAGCTTTAAAACAATACAAAACGTTGTGCCACTTCAATGATAATAGACTTCGCCTTGTTTGGGATCTCTTCAGATAGCCATTCACCCCCTTAAGGATGAATCATTATGTTTTACATTTTTTATAGGCTCTTCCAGGTATACTATAGAGAAACCATCTGGTTAAAGGAACGCATTCAAATTATAAATATACAGAATGAAAAAATGACAAACTATATCTTGCTAAGGAAATAAAGTTTTCACAGAAGCATCATCTCAGCTGGGACAGAAGTATAAACTTACCCAGCAGGGCAGAGGGATGGTAATTTAGACAGCATTTCCCACCCAGTAAAATGCACAGGAGTGCCTTCTGTGTTGTCAAAAGTGTAGGTGTGTGAGTGTAGGGATGAGGGATTTTGGCAGGATATAAAGCTAGAAAGTGTTTATTTTTTTTTTTTATTAGAAACTCAAATTTATAGAGAGAAGAGACAGAGACAAAAGATCTTCCATTCACTCCCCAAATGACCAAACAGCCAGAGCTGAGCTGATCCGAGCCAGAAGCCATGATACCCCTCTAACTCTCCCAGGTAAGTGCAGGGGTCCTAAGGTTCCCATCCTCTACTGCTTTCCCAACTGGGACACAAACCAGAGCCCATATGGGATGCTGGTGCTTGCAGGTGGAAGAGTTGACTTTTGGATAATAACCATTTAAATTGGAATGAAGTGGTATCTCATTATGTTTTCAAAGTAATTTTTATTTTCATTTTTGTTAGTATAAAGAAAAGATTTAATGCAGTTCATAGACTGAATTCTGAGAATATAATATTTCTCCTCATCTCTCTCTCCTTTCTTTCTTTTTGTTCATCCCTGTTTCCCTCCTTTGCCTCCTTACAAAGGATTTCTTGAACACGAAAGGGACAAGGCCCTAGGTGAATCCCTTTTATAAGACCACTCCATAACATCATGTCCTTTATGCACATTCAAGGACAGCTGGCACTAGACTGGTCCTCTGGGTGGATAGACAAATCATTAAAGTTTAGGAGGTAGGCACCTGGGGCAATGGCTTTATTGGCTAATCCTCCCCTTCAAGTGCCAACATATCAAATGAATGCCAGTTTGTATCACAGCTGTTCCACTTCCCATCCAGCTCCCTGCTTGTGGCCTAGGAAAGCAGAGGAGGATAGTACAAAGCCTCAGGACCCTGCACCTAATGGGAGACCTGGAAAACGCTCCTGGCTTTGGATTGGCTCAACTCCAGTTGCTGCAGCCATACAGAAGTTAACAGACAAGAGAAGATCTCTGTTTCTCTTTCTTTCTATAATCTGTCTTTCCAATAAAAATAAGTAAATCTAAAAAGGTAAGAAAAGAAAAAAAAAACAACTTTAGAGATCAATGCCACGGCATAGTATGCTAAGCATCCACCTGCAGGTACTATCCCATAAGGGTGCTGATTCAGTCCCGAAAGCTCCACTTTCAATCCTCCTTCCTGTTGACAGCTAGGGAAAGCAGCAAAGATGGCCCAAGTCTTTGGGCCCTTCCAGCTGTGCAGGAGGAGACCCAGAAGATGCTGGCTTCTGGTTCCTGACCGGCTCAGCTCTGGCTATTGGAGCCATCTGGGTATGAACCAGCAAAATAGAAGAACTCTGTCTCTCCTCTTCTTTCTGTAACTCTGCCTTTTAAATAAAAACAAATAAATCTTTTTAAAAAAAAAATTATTATAGGGCCTAGCAGCGCTGTGGCCTAGAGGCTAAAGTCCTCGCCTCAAATGCGCCGGGATCCCATATGGGTGCCGGTTCTAATCCCGGCAGTTCCATTTCCCATCCAGCTCCCTACTTGTGGCCTGGGAAAGCAGTCGAAGATGGCCCAAAACTTTGGGACCCTGCACCTGTGTGGGATACTCGGAAGAAGTTCCTGGCTCCTGGCTTCGGATCGGCACAGCACCGGTCGTTGCGCTCACTTGGGGAGTGAATCACTGGACAGAAGATCTTCCTCTCTGTCTCTCCTCTCTGTATATCTGACTTTGTAATAAAAATAAATAAATCTTTTTAAAAAACATTTAAAAAAATCATTATTTACATAGATATCATTTCTAGGCCTTTTGGCTAAGATCAAATGCAAAAAATCATTATAAAGTATGATAAAAATTAAACTTTAGTTAAGAACTGGGGTTTATGTTCATTTTATTTTTAAAAGGTATAAAAATATTTGTTTGAGTTGACAGTTAATTCCAAGTAAAACTCTATCCAGAAGGTGCCAACTACTCTTAAGTATGCAACAAATATAAGTGGATGTTTTTCCAAAAGAAAGGAAGGGAGGGAAGGAGGGAGAGAGGAAGGAAGGAAGGAAGGAAGGAAGCGAGGAAGGAGGAAGGAAGCGAAAGAAAGGAAGAAAGAAAAAGAAAAAAAACTTTGGAACTGATACAAGGAAAAGTATTATGATGCTACAGACATGTTGCAGAATCTGCATCCTAAAACATAAACCAAATATCAGTGGGCAAACAGTGGCTGCATAAAGCCAAGCAGATTTTGCAAATCACCAAAAATGGGAAAAGTGCTAGCCTGGAACTATATTTCTAAAGAGTGGAGAACAAACTGCCACATATCAAAGGAATATAAATTAGGAAAATGTTCCCATCCATCCTTCCATTTCTCCCTTTTTCTGATGATATATTTTTTTATCAATTGCTATAGGTATTTCTGAGATATCATATCCAAATAGTTCCTTGCCAATGTCACTTCAGCAATTCAGATTCAGAAAACAGTTCTCTATATAATCTCAATATGTAAAAACAGTGAAATGGGGCCAGAAGGGTATTGGAGTTCAGCCCCTTACCCAGATCTCCGAAGAAAGTTCTCTAAAATGTCCTTAATTTTCCTCAGTGAAGTATAAAACACATCAGTTTTTGGCCGAATATGTTAATTTACAAATCAGAAAACTGTCCTAAACTGTTCAAGAAAAACTTCTGTTTGCTTGGTATTTCTGCTGAAACTGAAGTGTTTTCTCTTCCTTATAAACTCATACTGAAACTTCCTGGTTAAAAATTATTTCTTACAAGTTATTCTATAAACTCATGTAATCCATCCCAAATTCCCATCAACAGCTCACATATGTCTATACCATACATTTAAGAAAGTGAAGCCTTAAACTCTACTAGGGACAATGCTGTTATTTCACTCTCCAACCTTCCCCCAGCAGATCAAGAGACAAGTTCAGGGTTGGGTCTCCATCTGCCCCCAGGTCATAGAGCTGGCAGGGAGGAATCCTGGCTTATCTGATTCCTAGATCCAAGACTCCAGACTCAGAACCTCACACTCTCTCCCAAATTTTTGCCTGTCTTTATGCAGGCTCCCAGAAATGCAGAATGGTAAGGGTTTCCTGTCATTTCACACAGAATGTACTTTCCACTCAGATTTGGGGAACCTGGATGACAGCAAAGCACCAAGGTCTCCAGCCTTTCTTAAACTCTTACAGTCAAGTTAAAGGGCAAACAATTTGGTACAGCCATTAATTCACAGCTTGAGGTGCCATAGCCCATATCAGAGTACCTGGCTTGAGCCTCAGCTGTTTTATTTCTATCCAGCTTCCTGCTAATATGGAACCTTGGAGACAGCGGATTGATGGTTTAAGTACTTGCGTCCCTGGCTCCCATGTGAGAGACCTGGATGGAGTTCCTGGCTCCTGGCTTCAGCCTGGACAGGCCCCTGGCAGAAGGCCTTTCGGAGGTGAACCAGAAGATGGTTCTACCTCTCTTTCAAATACAATTAAATTTTTAAAAATGTAAACCCAAGTTAGTAGACTCTAATCCCCACACACCTCAAATACTGATGTCTTTCTACCACTCTGAGAAACACAGGCTATCTATGCTGTCTTTTTTTTTTTAACTTTTTTAAAATTATTATTAATTACGTTGCATTATGTGACACAGTTTCATAGGCCCTGGGATTCCCCCACCCCCTCCCCGTGCCCTCCCCCCATGGTGGATTCCTCCACCTTGTTGTATTACCACAGTTCAAATTCAGTCAAGATTCTTTCTTTGCAAACATATACCAAACATAGAGTCCAGCATCTTATTGTCCAGATAAATTCAACGGTTTCTTGGGGTGACCATCTCTGGTCTGAAGGTAGAACTGGCAGAATATCATCCCGATCAATTGATAGCCCGTATCTATGCTGTCTTACAGAGACTAGGGGCTGAAAAACTCTTAAAAGTGCTACAACCGTGAGCTAATCTTAAATTGACACACTGAAGTGTTTTAAACTGGAGAAACGTTCTATAAAACCTAATAGGTAAAGATAAAATTTGTATCTAGAGACTGTTTGGGGTGAAAGAATGCCTGTCACCACAGGCTATGGGCCAGAGAAGGTCAGACTAGGGGTCAGAGGTAGCCTTCAACAATTTGAATTTCGGGAAAAATCAAGGAAATTTAGACTGGGGATAGAGAAATGGAGATGACTCAATTACAGATGAGACCCAACCAAGAGGCAGGACTGATATAAAACTACCGGTAATGGCAGGTGAAATTTTAAACACCACCAGGGTACGGAGCCGCTACTGGGAAAGTGTGACATGTCCTGGGCCTTACAGGGTCTCAATGCGGGTAGGCTGCAGTGCCTGGGCTCATAATGCGTGAGCATGACCCCGGGCGGTCGGGCCTGGGACAGTGAACCTCCCTCCTCCTTCCCCGGTTCTTACCTTCTGTTCGAAGTAGAGAACTGAGTAGTTGTTGGCTATAGCGGGGCGGGACGTGGGGTTGGCTGGCAAATGTAGGCTACCAAGAGTTCTTAGGGCTGGCCGGGGGATGATGGCAGCCCCGGGGGCCAGAAAACCCACGAGCAGGAACAAGAGGGCTCCGAGGTCCATGGCTCAGGCTGCCGGCTGCAGTGTGGGAGGGAGACAGGCAGAAGAAGCCGTCCAAACCCCGGCACAGCCCACTGCTCCGCCCGCCGCACACAGACTCCTCCCCCGAGGAAGCCGGAACCGGCGAGCCCCCCAAGCCACGCCGCCCCTCCGCTGCCCACAGAGCGCACCTTCCCGGAGGTCACGGCCGAGTCTAACCTCCGCCGTACCGCACACCTCGCTGCCGTATCCCTGTCTACATTGCCCGGCAAGAAAAAACCAAAGTCACCGAACATCACCCATCTTTGCTCTCACTGCCAAACCCTATCCTGGGCACCCCAAGTTCCTGGCCGCACTCCCCGCGCTAGGCAAAGCCCTCATGTTAATAATAGCTACCTTGACCATTTAATGACGGTCTCCTACCTGCCTGCCTCCCACTAAGTATGACGGCAAACACGCACACAACACACCACGTCACGCAACCCAACCACCTGTGCTCCTGTCCCACTCACAGATGAGGAAACAGGCCCAGAGGGGTGCAGGGATAGGACCGGGTCACGCAGAGCAGAAAGGGGAGCACAGCTCGGCAGCTCAGAGCAGCCGGCCACCATGATGTCACCCCGCTGTGGTACTGTGCCCCCGGATCCCCGAGGCTCGTGCGGCCGCCCTGACGGAGGCCGCTCCGAGCCCACGGTATCCGAACCCTGCCCGGCCCGGCTCCCTTCTTCCAGCGACGCCCCCTTTCCTCTCCTGGAACCCAGTCACCCCTCGCCTCCCTCTGCCGGCATCTCGCCCAGCCCTCACGCCAGGACAGCGCCCTCTCCCGTCCTCCCGACTCCGCCAGCCCTATTCAACGGCTTCCAGTCACGCCGAGGGACGCTCCCACCCGCCCCAGGCCGCCCCTGGATCTCCACGCCCAGCCGACACGGCACCGCCCTCGGCCGGAAGGAACCACCCTCGGCCACGCCTCCGCCGCGGAGGAGAACGAATGGTCGCTGAGAGCTCCTCCAGCAGCCTCTTCGGATTGGCTCTGAGGAGCCGCGGCCCGAGCGTCACCTCCGGCGGAGGGGTAGGCGGGAGGTTTGACGGAACTGGCCGGGCGAGCTGAGGCGTCTGGCGGCTCTGCGTCGAGGGGCGACACCTGCCCTGGTTCCCCCAGTCCTGTGCCTCAGGTGAGGAGCTGGGAAGGAGGCGTCCGGGGAGAGCAGAGGCCGGAGGCTGCTGGTGAGCGCCCTGCGTTGATGTGAGACTCCGAGCGCTGCGGTCTGTGGTGTTTCTCCCCCTCCCCCGCTCCGGGTTTCGTTTCTCTGTAAATGAGCGGGCAGGATTGTGGAGGAGTGAAAGGCTCGGTTGCAGTCCCTCATCTAACGTGTTTTGCGCCCTGACACACAGCTGAAAAAGAGCTGCTGCTTTCCAATACAGGCTCCACACTGCCCGGCCGAGGAAGTACAGAGCTAACCAGGCACTCCCCGCCTTAAAACCTTTCAGGCCTATCTGCCCTCCTGGGTAATACACCATGGCTCTTCCTTATCTGGCCTTTGCCTGCCTTTCCAACTCCACCTAGGCTTTGGCCATATAAAACGTCTTGGGAGTTCTTTAAATGTACTATTCTCCTTCCCCCCTCCCTCAGACCTTTTCTAGTCCTTTCCTCAATCTGGATATTATTATTATTATTATTATTATTATTATTATTATTATTATACTAGCAGAAAATTAGGATCTAGTCCTCTGAATCCTCGTGTACTTTTAGAATTTACTTTTATTTAAAAGGCAGAGTAACAGAGAGGCGAGAGATCTTCCACCTGCTGCTTCACTCCCCAAATGGCTCCAACAGCCAAAGCTGGGCTAGTAGGAAGCCAGGAACCAGGATCTACTTCTGTGTCTCCCACATGGGTACAGGGGCCCAAGAACTTGGGCCAAACTCCACTGATTTCCCAGCCCACCAGTAGCGAGCTAGATCGAAGATGAAGCTACCAGGACTCGAACTGGCAACCATGTAGGATGCCAGCGCCACTCTTACAGGCTTAGCATGTTATGCTATAGCACCAGCCCACTTAAACCCAAAATTTTCTTTCCCTTTCCTTAGGTATCAGTTTTTTTTTTTTAAGTGAGGCCGACTATCCTTCCCTCCTGTAAGACTGCAAGGTCCAGCATAGTAGCTTAGTGGCTAACGTCTTCATCTTGCATGCGCTGAGATCCTATATGAGTACTGGTTCATGTCCCAGCTGCTCCACTTTCCATCCAACTTCCTGCTTGTGGCCTAGGAAAGCAGTCAAGGACAGCCCAAAGCCTTGGGACCCTGCACTCTCGTGTAAAACATGAAAGAAGCTCCTGACTCCTGGCTACGGATCGGCACAGCTCTGGCCACTTGGGCAATGATCCAGTGGAGGAATATCTTTCTGTCTCTGCTTGTTTCTGTAAATCTGACTTTCCAATAAAAATAAATAAATCTTAAAAGAGAGAGACTGGATAGCAGAGCATTCAGTAATTCATTTTGTAAATACTCCTCTGTGCCAGATACGACAATGGTAAATAAGAAGTTTTCTGACCTAATGTAAGTTTCCTGTTATGGATGGATTTAAGGAACATAACAAGATTTAGATTGGTCTGGGAAGTCCTTTGTGACAAATTGATACTTAAATGGAGGACTGAAACTTGAGAATTATGAGGTCATGCCAAAGAGAAAGGAACAACATTGAGCAAAAACCCAGGAAGGAAAGCAGTTACATCTACATTAAAGAATTGCAGATTGGGCCCGGCATCTTGACCTAGTGGCTAAAGTCCTTATCTTGAACGCACTGGGATCCCATAATGGTGCCGGTTCTAATCCCGGCAGCTCCACTTCCCATCCCGCTCCCTGCTTGTGGCCTAGGAAAGCAGTCAAGGACAGCCCAAAGCCTTGGGACCCTACACCCATGTGCGAGACCCAGAAGAGGATCTGGGCTCCTAGCTTCGGATTGGCATAGCACCGGCCATTGCAGTCGCTTGGGTAGTGAATCATTGGATGGAAGATCTTTCTCTCAGTCTCTCCTCTTCTCTGTATATTTGACTTTACAATAAAAATAAATAAGTCTTTTTAAAAAACTGCAGACTGGCATGGTTGATCTATTTTTGCAAAGGATGGTGTCAATCAGCAAACACAGGCAAGCACCAGATCATGCTGTTCAGAGGCAGTGCAGGGATGGTGGAGTTTGGATTAAGGAGATGGTAGAATATAAGGGGCAATTACTGTTCATTTCTAATATGCTAAGAGAATTGAGTGCTTAATGATGGATGTGATGTGACACTTGAAGGACAAAGGAATAAGGGAGGACTGCTGGTTGAAAGTAGTGCAGTTTCCTTAATGGAGGAAGCTGTGGGGAAGGAAGATTGAGAAGTAAGAATTCAGATTTTATGATTAGTTAACCTTGAGTTGCTGAGACGGCCAAGTACAGTTGGCTGTCAGGTAAGCCATTGATGTGGGAAGCTGGAGCTTCGTGTGCTGTTTGTACCTTTGTGTCTCTTTATTGATAGTTATCTGTTGTCTGAATTAATAGGTTATGAATTCTTTGAACACAAAAACATGTCTCTGTTTCTATACCACTGTTGCATCTTCAGCCTTGTCATAGATACCCCATAAAATAGTGGGATAAATCGGACAGACCATTCTACTCAGTAAGGTTTCCCTGCTGTAACAGTATGGTTCACCTGTGTCTTTTCACTAGAGATTTTCTTGTTTATAAAGAGTCTTTTTAAAAAGATTTATTTACTCTTTTTTGAAAAGCAAAGTTACCGAAAGAGAGATCTTCCATCCACTGGTTCACTATCTGAATGGGTACAAAGGCCGGAGCTGAGCTGATCTTAAGCTAGAAGCCAGGAACTTCTGGATATCCCGCATGGGTACAGATTGGGCTATCTTTTACTGCTTTCCTGTAAACATTAGAAGGGAAGTGAAGCAGCCAAGAAATTGTACTCAAATGGGATGCAGGCACTGCATTCAGAAGCATAATATGCTATGCTACAGCATCAGCCCCAAGAAGCCTTACTTAACATTCATTATGTAATATGAAGAAACTAGGCATAGATTTAATAATAATTTTTAAAAAGCTCTGTACCAAAATATGCTTATATCATTTTTCATTAATATTTTACCATCATATTTAATTTTCAGTCACCTGCCTGCCTCTCTTTTAAAAAATTATATGTTACTGTCATTAATTATTTCTCAAGTAATTGTTATGAATGTTTCTGAAAATAAAATAGAAATATATCAAATATTTCAGACATGCCAGGAGAGTTTTGTTAAGATTTCTTTCTTTATTTGAAAGGCAGAATTATAGGGAAAAAGAGAATAGACACAATGACTAGGGCTGGGCCTATCCAAAGCCCGGAGCCAGGAGCTTCTTCAGGGTCTCCCTCCCACTTAGAAAAAGTAATTAGACAAGGAGTAGGAGCCCAAGCACTTGGACCATCTTCCACTACTTTCCCAGGTGCATTAACAGGGAGCTGGATTGGAAGTGGAGCAGCTGTGACTTGAACTGGCAACCACATCACAGCGCCTTAATGTGCTACAACGTGGCATCATCCAATGCCAAGAGATTGTTAACTGACAAGGTAACAGCCCCCAAAGATAACACAATGCGAATTTAATACTTTATCTGTGGAATAGACCATTTTATTGATTTCCAGTATCAGTGAAGTCTTTTGAGCCTCTTTGAATTTCATTGAGCTTTCAAAGCCAGAGAAAAGAGTGCTCAGGGTCCAGTGGTGTGGCCTAGCGGCTAAAAGTCCTCGCCTTGAATGTCAGGATCCCATATGGGCGCCGATTCTAGTCCGGGCAGCTCCACTTCCCATCCAGCTCCCTGCTTGTGGCCTGGGAAAGCAGTGGAGACAGCCCAAAGCCTTGGGACCTGCACCCAAGTGTGGTAGGCCTGAAAGAAGTTCCTGGTTCCTGGCTTCCACTCGGCATAGCATCAGCCGTTGCACTCACGTGGGGAGTGATCATCAGATGGAAGATCTTTCTCACTGACTGTCCTCCTCTCTGTATATCTGCCTTTCCAATAAAAAATAAATCTTTATTTAAAAAAAAAGAGTGCTCAGAAACTTACAGACAACTCTTAGCTGTGACAGCATGAAATGAAATCTACTCAGGATATGTCAAGAGAGGGAAAGTTTGGAAAAGTGGTTGAGAACGTTGAATGCATTTAGAAATTTTGAATACTTGTTTGTTTCTTCTAAATTATAAACATCTGCAACTTTTTTGTTTGTCTAGATAGCACTTGTATCCCTAAGGAGGAGAAGGAAAACACACTAGGAATTTAGATTCATGATCAGTAATAAACCATATATTTTTATGGTGATGGAAGTGAAAATAATAATAATTGATATTTCAAAATTTAGGAAGAAAAATTGAGTAGTTAGTTTGCTGGGAGGGGAGAGGGACTAGAAGAAGGAAGAAAGCATTTACTATAATGCTTGTGGCTTGCTGGATGAATTTAGGGAGATGAGAACACAGAATTGAAAAGTGCACTTCTTGACTCTGCTGTGCAGACAGTGACGAAGAGAAGAACATAGCAGAGTTTGTTGTTTATTGCTTTAAATTTTTTTTTTAATTTGAAAGATTAACAAAGAGAGATCTTCCATAAGCTGGTTCACTCCCAAGTGGCCAGAACAGCTGGAGCTGAGCCAATCTAAAGGTAGGAGCCAAGAGCTTCCTTTGGGTATCCCACTAAGGTGCAGGGTTTCAAGCATTTGGGCCATCCCTTGCCACCTTCCTAGGCTGTAAGCTGGGAGCTGGAATGGAAGCAGTGCAACTGGAAAAAGAACTGGAATCTTCTACATGGGATGTCAGCACTACAGGCAGAAAGTTAGGCTACTACGCCACGGCGCTGGCTCCCAGGGTTTGTTTTGTAGTTTGGGTATTAAGAAATCTCAGACTAAAAAACATAATTAGACATATATATGTCCTTGGAGGAGATTATTAGGATTGAGGAAATAATTCAAAAACCCATCATTCCCATAGCTGAATCCTTTTGGCCTGTAAAATAGGATTTTGGAAAACTGAGGACACAAAGTTGACATTTTCTTCTTGTAAGATAAAAACAGGTTGGGGAGGAATAAAAAAATGGAGAATTAGTCATACTGTTTTTTTCCCTCATGTCATTAGAACTGGGGAGTAGGGTTTTTTAAAGGGATAATTTTCTCCTTTGGGTACAATTGTAAAACACAACCAAATTTTCAAGTGTGAAGGTTGAACAAATAGTAATGTCAATACAGGGTGTGAGTTTCACATCTGATTTCATTTGCTTCATAACCTTTAATTGATTGAATGATTTATCTGTGAGTGAGATAATGATGTAAAAAATACTTTGCACGTTTGTAAAACAGAAAAATGATGAACTCCATTGAATTATGGACTTTAAGATAGGACTCACATCTTACACTTTCTTAACTGCATATGCCAGGTCCTACTAAATACTTATTTGAATTTTTTTCTCCAGGAGCTGATGCTCAATAATTATCCTGTGTTTTCTAATCCAGTCCAAAGGAAGAAATAAGGTGTGTTGACCTGAGTCAGAGTCAATGAGAATGCTTGTGAGAATGATGTTTCAGACTATTAATATGCTTTCCATGAACCTGATAAGGAACAGTTACGCTAGCGATACAATAAACTTAAGACAAAAATGATCCTGGGCTTTGGGATTTACCTGAAACTATGCTAGTCACAGTGCTGTGCATCTGTCAGTCTCAGTGGCTAAGCGAATAGTTTTCAAGGGTAGGTGAGTTACGTGGCCATGACCTGGGAAGTTGGCAATCTTTATCCCAGTTTGACTGGATCCAACTCCACAGGAGCGGTCCAGCCATAGATGTTATCAAGCATGATTTTGATGCACACTCCAGCCTGAGAACTGTTTGCCTAGCGTAGAGATAGAATACAGCTTATATGAGGGTACTAAAGCAAGTTCATAGGAAGTGGGATTAAAAGATAAGGTTATTTGTGTAGAAAAATTTTGAAATCCGTGTATATGAAGAATCTTTAAGAAGAACATGGAACATTCATGTTATGAATAAACTAAGCATGGTTTTCAAAAAGGTTTTGCACCAAAATAAACTCATCTTTTAATTCTCTTTTTCTTGAGGAACTTTTTGAAATCCCTTTATGTCTCATTCCACTGACAAAAACATCTCTAGAGTGAAAAGAATCAGGAATTAGCCTCATTCCATTAAAGTTGATTGACTTAATGATCCTTTTCTGCAATGCTTTCTGTTCATACTTTGGCTTACCGCATATTTATACCCCGCTGCCCCTGCCAAAAAAACCTTTTATACACATGGGCTTCTGATGAATCCCTCCTGTGACATTATTTTTTTTTAATTATGTCTTTTTAAAATTTATTTAATAACAGAACTTGTATCTGCTAATGACCTTCCAAATGGCTGTAAAGGCCAGTGTTGTGTGAGGCCAAGACTAGGAGCCAGGGGTTCTAGGGTTCCCATGTGGGTGGCAGGGGCACAGGCATTTGGGCCGTTTCCACTGCCTTATCCAGGCCGTTAACAGGGAGCTGGATTGAAAGTGGAGCAGCTGTAACTCAAACCTGTGCTCAAACGCATTGCCAGTACCGATCCTATGTTTTTTATTTTTTAACCTGTGATAAGTTAGTAAAGTTTCTTTGGATGATTTAACTCTTCATATGACTTGACTGAAAAAAGGAAAAAGCAACTATCCAGAATATCCCACTGTAATTTAGAAATGTATTAGAATGTGTCCAGTAAGACACCACGTTGTTTCAATAGGCCAATCTGTCAGAGCGTGACTTAAGCAATCCTTGGACCTTCAAAACAAAAGCAACTGAGGCCCCATGTAATTCCCGTCCATCTTCCCTTACATTTAGATTTTCTCCTGCTTTCCATCAAATATTCTAATTTCTGCTCTCATGTGTAACAGACTAAGAGGAGCTGACATTTTCTTAGTATACTATAGCTAAGTCCCTTCCCATATTTTTATTATACTAACAAATCTATAAAAATGTCACATTTAGAAAATGGTTTAAATATGTAAAGAAAATTTTAAAAAACTCTTAATACCACCACTGAGAAAAAACACTTTTTTTGTTGTTAAGATTGTTTATCCTTCTTGGAAATTCAAATAAGCAAAGAGGAAGATCTTCTGTTTGCTGATTCACTCCCTAGGTGGCCGCCAAGGTCAGAGCTGAGCCAATCCGAAGCCAGGAACCTGGAACCTCCTCCAGGCCTCCCACGTGGCTGCAGGTCCCAAGGCTTTGGGCCCTCCTTGACTGCTTTCCCAGGCCACAAGCAGGGAGCTGGATGGGAAGCAGGGCCGCTGGGATACAAGCTGTTGTCCATATGGGATTTGGTGTGTTCAAGGCGAGGACTTCATCCACTAGACTACCGCGCCAGGCCCAAAATACTTTTTCTTGAAAAGATTATATATTTTCCTGTCTTAATTCTATCCTCATCTCCCTAAAGAAAAGCTATATTATACCGCTTATTGTATTTACTCATGGTATTACGTACATTTTCTTTATAGAATTTACCATAAATTGTCTTTCGCCTTTTGTGATTATCTATTTAAGACCTGTCTCTTGCATTAGACCTAGTCAGTTTGTCTATCATTTATAATATTCCCAGCACCTTATTTACAGATAAATAAGTATACTGTTGTTGTTTTTTTTTTTTAAAGATTTTTCTGTTTGAAAGAAATCTTCCATCTGCTGATTCACTTTCCAAATGGCTACAATGGCTGGAGCTGGACTAGGACAAAGCCAGGAGCCAGGAACTTCTTCCAAGTCTCCCACAGTGATTCAGGGACCCAAACATTGGACCACGCTTTCCTAGGCATGTTAGCAGGGAGCTAGATCAGAAGGAGAGCAGTTGGGACTCAGATTGTCACCACAGCAGGTGACCTAGCCCTCAGCACTGATTCCAATATGCTGATAGTTATAATGTGGTTTGTTGATTGTGATGGAATGATAAGCTGCAACATACCAGTTTGTTCCTGTAGCTCATCATATTTGCCTAATTCTGATAGTTTTTTCTCATGCATCACTGTTTTCTATCAAAGATTGTCCATACTGCAAATCAGGCAGTAAACCGAGAAGCCAAGGTTGGTTGGCAGGGTGCATGAAGGAACTTCGAAAAACAGCAGAAAGCATATCTAACAGTGATAGTTTGAAGATCTTATATCCCACCGGATGGGAAATGGAAATTATTTTTGCCACTTGCTGGAGTTTATCAGATGAAACACAAATGGTAAAAGTACTGTATTAATCTTTCTCATTTCAATTCTCTATCGCTGTTATAGTTCTGAGCATACTTACTTGATCCACTAGGGGGCAATAAACCCTTAAATAAAGACAGTATAACCATACTTCCTTATAAATGTGGCATTATTTGCTGCATAGTTAAGTTTTTAATGTGTTGGTGTGCTATCTGCCTAATTACTGTGTAATTATGCATTAAACTTTTTAGACCCAAGGTTCTTTTTTATTTTTTCCCATGGTACTTTGCACAGTGTCCAGTCTAGTTACAAGTTTAATCCCTTTCCTCCCTTTCCTAAGGTTTGAGTTTAGTAACAGTGTATGAAGGATATGACTTGGTGAATGCACATATGTTTTTTGTAGAATATAAAGTCCTATTTTAGTGCCCTAAATAAAAGTGCTTAACCACAATATGACTATAATTAGGAAAAATGTTAGAAATGAGAAAAAATGCAAGTATTGAGTAAAATAAATATTGAATCAGGTACTTCACAGTAAACTACTAGATGTGTACTCCTTATGCAGAGGATGAGCTTATCATTTGGTGGAATTGTGTTTTATCCAGTGATGCAGCATAACTGGTTGAAGAGAGAAAGGCTGGAAAGTCATGACAAGGATTCAGAGCTGAGCTTGGTGTCATGGATATGAAGAGGTAGTCCTAAGAATTTATTGTGGCTTCAAACAAGACTTTTTTTTTAAGTTGTTGGGTTTGTTTTGTTTGATTTGAAAGGCAAATTTTACAGAGAGAAGGACAGAAAGAAAGGTCTTCCTGCTGCTTCTACACCCCCGCCCACATTGGCCACAATGGACAGATCCTAGCCAGGAGCTTCTTCCAGGTTTGTCAAGTAGGTGCAGGGACCAAGGGACTTGAGCCATCACCCACTGCTTTCCCAGCCCATGAGTAGGGAGCTGGATCAGAAATAGAGCATTTGGGACATGGACTGGCCACACATAAATTCTGCCTTTTAAATAAACAAATTAGTCGTCTTTAAAAAAAAACTCTAAAAATGTGCATACTGAAATTAATAAAACAATTTTTTAGCTAAAACAAAAGATCATTTCCACCAACTTAAGTTCTTTGAATGATTCGTGTAAGTTTATGTGATGGCCTCCCTATTAATGGTAAACACCAGATTGTATCTTAAAAAGGAGAAAGCTAGGACTCTCCAACATTGTCCATGCCTGCAGTGTCAGGATACACTTCAGTAGCGGAACGATGGACTTAAGACTGTTCATGAAGGACCACTCATTGTCATACTAAAGGGGAAGCCAATTGGGGAGGGAGACAGGAAATCCCAGAGCCTTCAGAACTGTATCATAAAATAATAATTTAAGAAAGAGGAACAGAGAGAGCTAAGTGTCATCTTTACAGAATTACTGAGATTGAGCATTTATTCAGAAATAATATTTGTTTTACTCTGTCTTATTTTCTTTCTAGTAATATTTTTAATTAAGTAGAAAAGGTAATTTTCCAATACTTTGACACTTAACAAACTTAACTTTGAAAGTGAAACAAGACAGCTATTATTTAAGATTGGTTAACTGGTTTTCCTAAGAAATTAATATAGGGGTGGATATTTGACTCAGCAATTAAAATAAAGTATATTCCATGTCCTAGTTCAAGTCTCCGCTCAGCTTCCTGCTAATGTATACCCTGGGAAAGCAGCAGATGAGGGCTCAAGAAGCTGGGTGTCACATGAAGTCCCAGGCCAAGTTCCTGGCTCCTGGCTCCCAGCTTTGGCCTAAAGTGCTACAGCGTTGGCTGTTGCAGGCATTTGTGGAGTGGACCAATACTTGGAAGATGCCTTGCTCTGTCTCTATATATTTATAATTTTCAAAATAAATAAACTCTAAAAAGTAACTCTAGAAAGTTGCTGTAGCGCCAGAATCATATATGGGTGCCAGTTCTAGCTCCAGTTGCTGCACTTCTGATCCAGTCCCCTGCTTATGGCCTAGGAAAACAGTAGAGGATGGTTCAAGTCCTTGGGTCCCTGCACACACATAGGAAACTTAGAAAAAGCTCTGCTTACAGCTTTGAATCAGTTCAGCTTTGACTGCTGCAGCCCTCTGGGGAGTGAACCAGCAGATGGAAGATCTCTCTTTCTCTCTGTAAAAATAGATAAATCTTTTAAAGGAAAATAGCCTTTTAGTTTTAAATAAATGGGTATGTACATACAATTAAAGGCTTATCATTTATCCCAATGATTATTTTTATTTTGCAGACCACAGTATGAATGCATGAATAGAAGAAGAAAATTTCTCCTTGCCTCAGTACTTGCTCTGCAGAATTCAACTTTTATATATCCATCATGTCCAAAGTGCTTCTCTCGAATAATCCTAGCTTCCAAGAGGTAAAGCTTATAGGCCTAAGAAAGGAAATATGGGTGTATACTGTAGATTTCTTATGGATCCAAGGGTAATAGAGACTAAATTTACTATATCAGAATATGAGGTTCTCACAGGAATCCTCAAGGATTTGTTCTATAAATCTGAGAATAAAATTGGCTGATAATTCTCCATGATAAGGGGGAAATTTTTGCCAAGTCTTCTAACTACCTGCCTCAGAGAAGAAAAATAACTTCTCAGACCAACCTGTTAAAAACAAAAAAGTAACCTACTTCTCAGATCTCTGGAAATAATGTGGGAGGTTTTTTGTTTGTTGTTTGTTCGTATTTGCATGATAGCCAAATTGCTTTTTAATGTGAAAAAACTCTTTGAAAACAGGTAATACATTATACAGAATGAAGATTCCCTCAACCCAAGTGCTTGGATCTAGAAGTGTTTCAGGTTTCAGAGTTTTTGCAATTTTTATTTGACCTTTGTTTTTAGGTATCAGTCTTTCCATATCTGCATTAATCCAAACCTTTCCTCTTTCTTAAAAAAAGGTTTTATTTATTGACAGAGAGGTCTCCCAAAGTGTTGATTTACTCTGGGAAATGCTGCAAAATCAGAGCTGAGTTGATCCAAAAGCAGGAGTCAGGAGCTTCTTCTGGGTTTTCCATTTAGATGCAGGGTCCCAAGCACTTGGGCCATTACCTGCTGATTTTCTAGGCATATTGGCAGAAGTGACAGCCAGGATTGAGGCCAGTGCCCATGTGGGTTGCGGTGCCACAGGCAGCAACTTTGTGCATTAATTACATCATGGCACTGGCCTTGAATTATGGAAATTTTGCATAGACTTTACTAGTAAACCATCCCTACCCCAAAATCCAAAGCTTTTGGACATCATGTCATTACTGAAAAGTTCAGCTTGGTGAACCTTTTGAATGTTGTGTTCACAGATTAAAGGTACTCAGTCTATAGCAATTTCTATGTAGCATCTCAAAACTGCTTGACACATAGTTTATGATCATGCTCACATGTCGGCCAAGTATATCTGAGAGTGTAGGATCTTCTGGTCTTTCTAGAGTAGAAGTGAGTTCAGTTCCTCAAGAACACTTTTTCTCTGTCTAGAAGATAAGGCAAAAGTGCATCCTAGTAGTAAGGAAGAGTAGTATGCAATATTCCTTGCATTGTTTTTTTGTTCACTTAACATTGAACAGAAAAGCAAGAAGGGTCACTTCTCACATCTACTCTTCAATTATCTTTGAAGTAGTTACTACTTTATTAAAGCACTTCATTGAAGACTTATTGAAGCACTTCATTGAAGACTCATATCAAACATTCAACAAATGTTTGCTGAATTAATGACTAAATGACACTATGATGTCACATTTATTCATTTTTCAGGTTCTTGATTATCATTTGTCACAAATAAAAACCACGAACCATGTATTTGTTTTCATCAGGATAAGCACTAAGAATGAACAATTTCAGGCTTCAGAGGACACAATAGGATTACAGATAGGCTCTGGCATTTACTAGTAATATGAGTTAGAGCACGATATATTTAACTTCTGTAAAACTCATTTAAAAAGTGGGACAACAGGGGCTGGTACAGTGGCTCAGTTGGCTAATCCTTTGCCTGCAAGCACTGACATCCCAAAAGAGCTCTGGTTTGAGTACTAGCAACTCCACTTCCAATCCAGCCTTCTGCTTATGGCCTGGCAAAGTAGTATAGGATGGTTCAAAACCTTGGGACCCTGCAGTCATGTGAGAGACCTGGAAGGAGCTCCTGGCTCAGCTCCAGCCATTTTAGCCATTTGAGGAATGAATCCACAAATGGGAGGTCTTTCTCTTTGTCTCTCCTCTGCCTTTCTAATAAAAGTAAATCTAAATAAATAAATCTAAAGATAATAATAAAGTGGAGCTGTCCCCACAATAGGGGATAATTAGAGTTAATACACAGAAATCTAGCACAATTTATAACTTATATATTAGGATTTCTAAAATGATACCTTGTGTTACTTTTACAGATTATTTGAAGTATACTTTGCCATTAATCATGGTGATTAAAAATATTAATTCTCAGGAACCAGATGACGTAGGTTCAAATTCTAGCTTTATCATTTATAGCCTTGAACAAGTGACTTAAATTATCTGAACTTAACATTCTTAGGGTTCTTAAAAAGGCTCAAATATGTTAATATATATCATATAATTTATCCATGTATATGTTGTATGTAAAACACTATTCTGATAGGCATATTAATGTTTGTAGTAAGTGGTTATATTTTTGAAACTTCCTTCCAAGCTGTTTCTTTTAAAGGTAATCATCAAAAATTTAGGTTGAACAGCATTGCTGTGTTGCTATCTCTTTAGATTGGTATGCTAATAGATAATATTAATGAGTGTTTATTATGTGATAGGCACTATGATAGGAATTTGTGGACATCATAGCACTTTAATACAAGCACTTTGTTCCATGAAATTGGTGCTGCTATTAATGCCTACCCTCCAAGGAGACAACCAAAGCTTAGAAAAATTATATAAAACTAGTCAGGGGCAGAGATATGGATAAGCCTCACTAATATGCCTGCTGTCTGCCCTCATCAACACTGTGCAGGATTTATATTTAGAATGGCACTCCCTCCTTCCCAGAACTGGAAATTCCCTGGGAAAGGAGCTCTGTTTGGACCATTTGAAAAGCATGTAAAACTAAAAGCCTGTGGAAACATAATCCATGAAAAAGAATCTATTCTCTGCATGTATGTGTCACATTGGCCCAAAAAAACACACAAATCAAATGCTTTTGTGTTTGTTTTCTTGTTTTGTTTTTTGTTTTCTTATTTTTGGGTTTTTTTTGTATGTTTTTGGTTGTGCTTCCTTGCAAATTAATGACAATAGAGTCCACACTATAATCTTTGCAGAAGATCTTTAAATATTTTTAAATCTGCATAACCAGAGTTATAAATGTAAATGTAAGGTTAGTTTTATAGTGTATAGGCATATGTATGTACATTCCCCAAAGTTATGAACAAGGCACGAGCCTTAAGAGCCATCCACTAAGTCCAAACAAATGCATGATGTCCTAAGTGACTTCATAGATCTGTGGTCCCTTTAGTCTAGAAATCCATCGCCAACACTGTTACTAGTGTTGCTATTTATGAATTACTGTGGGATTTCTATTCTTATTAAAGCAAGAATCATAGTTCACAAATTTTGCATCCACCCAAAAAAGATTGTAAACTTACACAAGTGAAACTGAATTTACATAGAAATCATTATTTTCTTCTTGAAGGGAGGGTGTCTTGCGGCCTTAGAGGTATTTTTTTTTAATGTTTTTCATTATTGTGGGTTTTTTTTAAGATTTTATTTATTGGAAAGTCAGATATCCAGAGAGGAGGAGAGACAGAGAGGAAAATCTTCCATCCGATGATTCACTCCCCAAGTGAGCGCAACAGCCAGTGCTATGCCGATACGAAGCCAGGATCCAGGAAACTCCTCCGGGTATCCCACACGGGTGCAGGGTCTCAAAGCTTTGGGCCGTCCTCGACTGCTTTCCCAGGCCACAAGCAGGGAGCTGGATGGGAAGCGAGGCTGCCGGGATTAGAACCGGCGCCCATATGGGATCCCAAGGCGCATTCAAAGTGAGGACTTTAGCCGCTAGGCCATGCTGCCAGGCCCGGAAAAAATTTTTTAAAGTTCATTATGCAATATTTTAAGAAAAATGTATTGTGGAGAAATGTTTGTACATAAAATATTTTTAACTTTTCTAATTTGTTTTCATATAAAAAATTTTACTGTATACTACACTTTTTTCCTTACTTTTCCAGGTCCAAGTGTCCAAAGTGTGGTTTTACTGGTAAAGCTGAAAATGCTAATTACAGATATAAACTTTCCCTAAAAGTTACAGAATCAAACAAATTATTTATCATTACTGTATTTGGAAGCTGCTTAGATACATTTTTTGGGCTTACTGCTACTGATTTGCACAGGTATGAATATTTAAAGCATTTTTCCCTCTGGCTGCTCTTCTAATATACCAATAGAAGTTGAAAATAGATATTCCTAAGATGGCATGTTGAATTAAAAAAGGTAGTTTTCACCTTAGATCATTGTTTCCTCTAAAAGACAATTGGGGCCCAGCCAGCATTTGGCCTAGCAGTGGAGGTGCTGGTTAGGACACCTCCCACATTATTAGACTGTCTGGGCTTCAGTTGCTACCATGCTCCCAATCCTAGTTTCCTGCAAACATGCACCCTAGGAGGCATCAGGTTGGCCCCTGTCACTAACTGGCTTGCTTTCTCTCTCTGACCTTCAGGCTTTCTCTCTCTGCCTTTCCAATAAATAAGTCTGTCTTTTGGAATAGATCATTAAGTAAGAAACAGATATTTATTCCGTGAATACGTACTGTGATGATGTTAAACCAGGCTTTTTTTTTAAAACAACTAATGATAACATTAGATTGCAAAACTCTAATACAAAGTAGAAAAATTAAAAAATAAATAAAATCATTTCATAATGAAGGGTGATCTAAGTTAAGGTTAGCATTCAAGTGGCTAAAGTTTCCTGAGGCAGGAAGTTGAAAGTTTTTCATCTGCATTGCAACTTCATCTGCATCATTTGACCCATTAAGATGTTCTTGAAGATCTATATGAGCAATTGAAGCTTTGCTTCCCCTTCAGTCTTTGTCCTCCACCCTTGAACACTTCACAGAAGTAGTATGTCCTTAAGAACAACCTGGCTTGAAGAAAGAGAGTGAAGAGACTGAAACCACACTGCCAGGGAAAAGAATTCCCTCTTCAGTGAGGTGAAGGGCTAGGCAGACGTTTTGCCATTGCTCCCACTACTACTTCAGTTTGTTTTGGAATGGCTTGGCCTGTTGACTAGACAAGCATCTATTTTATTCCCACTGATGGTCCGGTTCTTTGTTGGAGCAGGGCAAGATTTATTTGTTTGATCTTTCAGTGCTATGGAAAACTCCAAGGAGCAAAATACCTGCCTCGTAGTTATTCTCCCCTTTTCTCTATGTAACACAAAACATTCATGAATTTTCAAACTAACTGTATCTTCTCACTTCACAGCAAAATAAAATTTCAAAGCTTATCCAGTCACATTTTTTATCTTATTTCCAATCAAGGTATATTCAGGATCCTAGTAGAATACCGGAAATATTGGACAGCAACGCAACACAAAACCTATTAACTAAAGCAGTTGAAACTTGCTTTGTTGGACAAAGACTTATTTTCGGAGTGACGGTAATTATGAATAGTGTTCTTTTTAGTATTGTGTTATTTCTGTTGTAATGAAAATGATTTAAATTTTCCATGTAATTTTTATGAGTTACATAAATGAGAAGACGTGTAAAAACTTTTTTAAAAAAAAGCTCTTTAAGCTGTGTAAAAATAGTCTACAGGAAATCTGTTAAAATACCATGTGTGGCAACTTCCTCTTTCAAAAGTCAAAGTAGCCAAGTTCAGATGCTTGTAGAAGTTTGAAATATAAATTTCTTATAAATTCAGAAGTGTGAGATAGTTGATTTTGATGCTAGGTGTTTGCTTAACTACACATTTTGTTCATGTTCTACCATTCATTTCTGCCATCTGTAAAAGGGAATGGAAGGAACTATATTGATGGTAAAGTGAATATTAATAAGAATGTTAAGACTAAATGAAGAAAGATAGTCTTATATAATTAAAAAGTGACTGTAGAATAAGTTAAAAGAATGTACTGACTAAAGCTGCAATAATTTTATGTCTCATATACTAAAGAGAAAAATGTCCACACTAGAATCAGAGTTTCAAAAGCGGGGGGGGGGCGGTGGGGGAAGGAGTATAGAGTACTCCATCACTAAAAGGTAAGAAAAAAACAAAATGAAGGTAAAACCAAGAGCTACAGGGGAACTTTCTCTCTCCCCGCCCGCCTTTCTCACACATACTATACAGACTTACGTTGTCTGCCTCTCCCATTAATAAAGGGGAACATTTCCTTAAACGCAAAAGTTTATGGAAGCTAATGAGAAATACAGTTTATTTATTAACTACTGTTACTAAGCATTATGCAGTTACTCATGTTAACTGCTAAACAATAATTCCACATTTTTATTCTTATAAATGACAAAACCAAGCTCAAAGGAGCCAGCATTATAACATGACAGGTCAAGCCACCACATGTCATACCAGCAGCCCATATCTCAGTGCTGATTCATGCCCTGCTGCTCTGCTTCCCTTCTAGCTTCCTGCAATGCATCTATGAAAGCATTAAGTCCTTGCAGCCTATGTGGGAGGCCAGCAGGGGTTCCTGACTCCTGGCTTTCTCTTCCTTGCCCAGACCTGGCTGTTGCAGCCAAGGGAGTGAACCAGTGGATGGAATCAGTCTCTTCTAATCTTTCTCTGCTACTTTCTCTCTCTGTGTGTCACTCTACCTTTCAAATACATAAATGAATCTTTTTTTAAATTTCAGGAATATTAAATAACTTTTACAAAGACCCAGAATACTAATAAATTCTGGAACTGGATTTTAATGTCAGATCTCTTAAATACGCTACTCTGCATAAAATACTACAGGCAATGATATTAGAGGATGTGAATTTATAATTGTATCAGCTTTGGCCTTTTTTTATTTTAAGACCTATTTTGTTTTTATTTGAAAGGCAAATTTTTCACAGAGAGGAGAGATAAAGAGAGAAGGTCTTCCTTCCTCTGTTGCAAATAGTTGCAATAGCCAGAGCTGAGCTATTCCAAGCCTGGAAGGCAGGAGCTTCTTCCTGGTCTCCCACATGGGTGCAGAATCCCAAAGACTCTGGCCATCTTCTGCTGCTCTCCCAGGCTGCTTTGGAAGTGGAGAAGCTGGGATTTGAACCTATGAACTGGCAGCCAGATGGGATGCTAGTACCACAGGGAGGGGATTAGCCTGCTTTGCGATTGTTGTAGCCTTTAACCTTTTAATCTATTTGAGATGTAAGTCCAAAGGGGGAAAAAAAAAACTTATTTAACTCATTTCTTTCACAGAATTTTGGAACCCAACTTCCAGATTCCAGTAACTCTCTGCAGCAGTGCTGTGATCACAAAAGAGAAGCTAAAGAACTTGTAGCTTGCCAGGTTGTTCTACCAGACCCACTTGTGGCAGGGTTTACTGTCATTGACTACTTTCATCAGCTTTTGCAGACTTTGAATTTCAGGAAACTTCATGGTATCTCCCAATCACCTAACAGCGACTTTTTAACTTTGGATCAATCAGATAGTCAGTTCAGCAGCATACATGGTTCTGACAGCACTTGCTTTTTCAGATCCTGTGACAAAGAAAAGCTTTTAAGATTCTGGCCGCTATCACTTGAACTCACTTCCATTGGTTCACCACAAACAGATGGTAATGATCTTTCAGCTTTAGAACAAAGCAGAGTTGTTGGCACTCTTCACCAGAATGAAAACTGTTTGTCTTCTGCAGAGGCCACAGATTCCAAAAGCTGCCATGATCCCAGTCAGGGTTCATGGAGCCTTGTTTCACATATGGAAAAAAATGATATAGCAGAAAAGTTGGATGTCAAATATGGCTTCCAAACTGATCAGTTGAGTGGATTACACAGCAGCCGTCATGATATTGGACTTACTGACTCTAATTTATTCTCTTTGAACTTGGAGGAGCCTCCAAAGTCAAATGATAGAGAATCCGTCCACAGTGTAATACAGATAAAAAACACTTACACCGAGTATGAAATACCATGTTACCAACATCATAATCCTGATACCCCCATTAACCTTCAAGAGAAATCTGTGTATTCACTATCACCTTTTAAACTTGAAGAGACAGCTAGTGATTCCCAGAATTCTGACTCCGAGATTTGGGATAATCTGCCACTTTCCGAAAGCCTGAACAAATTTTTAGCAATTGTTGAAAGTGAGACTGCTGTAACCCAGACAGATGCCTCTCTTAGGAAACATAATGCAGATGGCATCAATGAATTACATGCAGACCACAGCAGGTTGTCCGGAGTGCCTCAAAGAAGTACTGAAGACTTGCACACACCACCTATAGCTTTAAGATCGTCACAAGCAGCAGTCATCACAAACTCTAGCCAAGGAAACTTCCTTTCCAACTGTGAAGCAGATCCAAGTTCTAATGCTCAAAAGCAGTCACAACCAGATAGCACCACAGAAGCAGTTTCTATAACCAGTTTTGGAAGAAATACTTCACGTTTTTTTCTACAAAATACTTACCAGTCAGGTTTTCTTTCTGCAAAAGATTCAGAAACAACAGTTAAGAAGACTCGTGGGGATGAAATGTTATGTAGGCCCAATACTTCAGAGAGTGAGCATTCTTATCTAAGTATCAAATATTTTAATGGATATGAAGGAAAGTCAGTTTCAGAAATGAATGAGAAGTTGACAGCATTGTGTTCTAGGAAGTATTATGATGTTTCTGATCTTTGCAAAGTAGATCATAAACAATCTTATAGGTGGCCAGAAAATGAAGGTGACAGTTTTACAGTATGTAGGAAACTTACATATTCTTTAGAAATTCCTTGCAGTAGTCCAGATACAAGTACACATACACTAAAAGATATCCCTTATGGACATACCAGTGATGACTTATCACAGAGCTGTTCTGCTGGCCATGAAGGTGTCTACAACACTTCTGCTGAGCTCTTTGATGATATCGATAAAGAAATAAATGTTACAGTGAAAATTATCAAAAATTCACAGGATGTTTTATTGCATTTGGGAACATCTTTGGCAGAAAGTCTTCAAGTAGAGCCTGATTTTTCAGTGAAGGCACTTTCTGAAAGCTCCAGCCAACCTTCACAGAAATTATCCATGCAAAATGCATCTGCCTGCAGGCATCCAAGAACATTCTCCCCTCCACCTGACTGCCAGTCAGACTCAGAAAAGGATTTTGAAGACAGTCAAGACTTTGTTCCATGTTCACAGTCAACTCCAGTTGCAGGGTTTCAAGGAACAAGAATTTATGGAATAAGGAAAGCTTTCCAAAAAATTCCAGCTTTTTATTCAGATCTTGATGCTAACACGGGAAAAACTAGAATTTCTTTTAAAAATGACAAGCTGAAAGCCACCCCAGGCAGTCCACAAAATATAAAAACAACCATCCAGAAATCCAGAAACCCTGTTACACCTAGTATTGCACAACCAGAGGTTTTTAACCACTGTCCTATTGCTGAGAGCCCTGAAACTGATAGTGATGAATGGGTCCCCCCTACCACAAAAAAAGTATTTGTTTCTGACATGCTTGGATTCCAAGTCAGGAGTCTACAGAAAAGCTTTGCTGCACAGAATTCCCCTGATCAAAGAGAATTACCAAGAAAGAAAACTAAATATGCCAAAGAAAGAACTGATGAGTGTTTAATTAAGAAGTTAAATTTAAAGAATATGTTTACAGCAGTTACAAAACAGACAACTCCTAAATATAACTGTAAAACTTCAGACCAGATCTCCAAAGAATTAAGTCTTGGGCTTAATTCTTCTTCAGAAGTCAAACATTACTATCCATTTTCAGAAAATTGCCTGTCTTCTGCACCTGAAAATAAATATGCTTGGTCTCCTGAATTATTTTCATAAAAGATCTCCTGAACTCAGTATCTTAACTTAAGTGAAGATAAATCTTCCAGAAACTTGCCTCTAGTGGCATGGAAAGCATCCTTTGCATTTTGAATACTTGAGGAAAAGCAAATAGAAAGTGTTCTACGTGCTATTGTGTCTTCAAAAATGTAAAGCCATGGACCTCCCAAGACACTATGATTTAGAGTTTATGCACTTTATATTGTTGAGTGAACTTTAGTAATATTGTTAATTTTGCCTTTTAAAGATTGTTAAAATCACATGTACATTCCAGAAATAAAGCCTTTGCAAACCAAAATGTGCTGTTTCTCAATCAGTTAAGAATAGGAAATGACAAGCCAGCACAATAGCCTAGTAGCTAAATCCCTCGCCTTGTATGCACCAGGATCTCAAATGGGTGCCAGTTCTTGTCCGGGCTGTTCCACTTTCCATCCAGATCCCTAACATCACTGGTGTCAAATTTCAATCTGATAAATAAAACAGGGGCAAGCAATTTCAAGATAATATAGTAGAAAGGATAGTGTAGCAAATTAAGCCAGTACTTGTGACATTAACATCCCATATAATAGCACCAGTTTAAGTTTTTGCTACTTCATGTTTGGTGCAACTCCTGCCTGGCAAAGCAGCAGAAGATAGATCTTTGAGTATCTGCCTATAAAGTACCTTCTAAAAAGAAGACATCTGGGGGAGTATACCAGTGGATGGATATACTGGTAAAAGAAAATGTAGCAATACAAGTTTAATGGGGATGCCATACATGTTGCTATCGAAACAGAAGCAGTTAACCCAGTACTGTTTACTATTTAGAAGTTAATATATTAATTGTATTTACTAAGTATTGATTGAATGCTTCCTACATGCCAGACTCTGTGGTTGGAACTGTAAATCAAAGGCAAAACCTCCTTTCCCCAAACTCTTAGTCTGGTAATCAAGCAATGCTAATCAGAAAAAATGAAGAATAATTCCCACACAGTCACAGCAGCATTGTAGCTGCACCCTGTGAAATATTTTTTTTTAATTTGGGGTTTTTGACTTATTGTACATCCATCTTTGAAGTCTTGTAAGCAGTATCCCCTCATATTTCTACCTTTGGCAATGCTAGATATTTTCTCTTCCCTTTTTGTTTTGAGAGCTTGAAAAAAATAGTGCAGTGACATAACATTTTGTTCAGTCATTCTAATCAGTTCGACTTGTCTGCTTGGCTTGTTTTCTTATATAAACATTTTGGAGTTTTGCTGAACCACTTAAAGGTTGCTACAGATGGGACATTTCACTAAAATACTTCCCTATGAATCATTATAAAAGGATTTTTTCTGAATGGCCACAATATCATTTGCACACCCAAGAAAAATAGTAGTATTAAAATACTGTTTAATATTCAGCCCATATTTAAAATTTTGTATTTGTCCTCAAGTTATAATTATTAATGTTATTTGATAAGTATTTCATTACGGTTTACCCTCAGTTGTTGGTTGTATCCTTTGTTTCAAAAACTTATTGTCTTATTTTCTGAAACATTAACTTCATGAAAACACCGAACCACTAGGGCTGGCACTGTGGCATAGTAGTTTAAACCTTGGACTGCAGTGTTGGCATCCCATATGGGCGCTGGTTCTTGTCATGGTCGCTCCGCTTCTCATACAGCTCTCTGTTAATGTGCCTGAAGCATCAGAAGATGGCCTGGATCTCTGGGCTTCTGCACCTACATGGGTAGACTCAGAAGAAGCTCTAGGCTCCTGGCTTCAGAACAGCCATGTTCTAACCATGACAGCTATTTGGGGAATGAAGCAGCAAATGGAAGATTCTCTCTAAATGTTTTTCAAATACATACACCTTTTTAAAAAATGAAATCACTGTTTAGTTCTAGAGTACAACATTCTAGATTTGTATGTTTGCTGCATTAGTGTCAGGATATCATTCCTTTCCTTTGACTCATTTCATCTAGATTAGAGCTTAAGACATATGACTTTGGGGCAGTAATACTTTATGGTGTGTATTTTTGTATTACACAGAAAAATATCAGTTTGTCCCATTATCTGTGAAACTAAGATTACTTGGTTAATGTATCTAATTTCCACTGTACACTTAGGCCTTTATTTTATTTATTTATTTATTTATTTATTTATTTTTACATAAGGTTTACAGACAGGAAGAGAAAAGTATTCCATCCACTGGTATACTCCCCCAGATGTCTACAACAGCCAGAGCTCGGCTGGGCCAAATACAGGAACTGGGAGCTTCTTCCAGGTCTCCCATGTGGGTGCAAAGGCCTAATACTTGGGTTATGTTCTGCTTTCCCAGGCATATTAGCAGGGAGGTGGATCAGAGCGGAGCAGCCAGGACTCAAAACTAGCACCCATATAGATGCCAACATTATAGGTAATGCTTTACCTGGTTACACCGTATTCACCCCTTTTCTTTCCTTTATAACAGTAAAGAAGCCTGGCTGGGGTTTTACCCTAGCAATTAAAACACCGGTTAGGATGCCTGTATCTCATATTTGATCCTGATACGAATCCTAATTCCATCTTCTGGCTAATGCAGGTCCTAGGAAGGCAGTGATGATGGGGCAAGTTGTTAGATTCTAGTACTATACTTGAAAGTCCTGGGTTGAGTTCCTGTAGGTCTTTAGAGAGTGAATCAGCAGATGGGAGTTCTCTATGCCTCAATCGTTTTTAAAAATAAAAGTATAAGGGTGAAAAGAAGAGCAAGTGACACCCTTCAGATCAAGTTCTACAGAAAGCAACTAGCCTGTAAGGCACACATTGACAGCTGACAATCCTTAGTTGTTATATGAAGAGAACAATGAAGAGCTCCTGCAAGGACAAATGAAATATGTCACTTATTACACACTGACCACTCAACTAACATTCCCAGGACATCTACCCTCCAACCGCCTTCAGTCCACAAGGCTGCCATCTCTTCTCAGTGGACCATCTCCATTCCTGCCACTAACAACTGGCAACAAGGAAAGCTACCCTCTTACCTCTCCCCACCACCACACTGACACATCTCTACCACCCCTCCTTCCCTTCCCACCCTCACCCTCTCCCTACCAGAGGCCCACATGAGTCTGCAATCCCCATCTCTTCACCTCTGTAAGGAAAGTAAATGTTTTAAAATAAAGTATAACCACCTGCCAGCGTTGGCAAATGAGTTTTTTTCTTTCATCACTTTATCACTATGGACTCAATTTTTACTTTCCAGTGATTTGTGCCTTTCTTTTTAACCCCAAGATTTACTCCTTGTAAGTACCCTGCTGGTTGACTTGTTAATCCACCTCTTCTGAAAAAATTGAGTAGTCAACTTTCAGCCCAGTCAATATTTAACCTGCAGTCTGTGGAACCACAGTAGCTATGGTATCAGTAATTTTACTGAAATCCAGTGGATTTGTTACTCCTTATTTAATCTCTGAACTTCCTATATTTCTAAGATACCACTCTCACAGCTTTGGCTTCTCCATTTCTGTTCTTCAGTCAAGGTTACTTGTATTTTTACAAGGCCTTTATAGAAACAATTGTAAATAAGATTCATGTACCAGTGCAAAGTAGAAAGTGGTATATTATTGAAAATTTAGGAGAATGGGTGTATATTTACTGTTTAATCACTGTGTACAATCTCAATGCACAAGTACCATGTTTTCTTCAGGACTAAGAAATAACTTCTTTTTGACAAAAATGCCAGTTTGGGGTAATTTCATGACCCCTACTGCAGTAACAGTGGCAATACTGTTAGTAATGATAGTGCCATGGAATTTTTCAGAACCTGTTTGTATTAAATCTTACCATAGATCTTACCTCAGTATTCATTGAGCAAATTATTAAGTTCCAGATTGTACCTGGAGCTGTGCTAGGTTTAAGATGACTATGCCCTCTTGTTAAAGAGAATGAAACAGTCATCGTTCCTTTGTATCCAGCTGCCTACTTACAAATCTGACAACAAGCATATACCTTTACCATGAAAGTGAAAACACGATTCATATCAGGAAACTGCAGGTCAAACAACTCATGTGATTCAACAGAGAATTTTAAGAGAAGAAAGGGATGTGATTCAACAGAGAATTTTAAATCTAAGGAGGAGGAACAGTATTTAAATTAAGAAAGGAAAAAACTTTTGATGGGCAAGATTGAGCTCCCTGTTCTGAGATGCACACTTCAAGAGCTGCCATCTCACTGCAAGTAGAAACCAAAGTCCTGACAGCCAGGGTCTATGATCTGTGCGCAACTCAAACATCATCTGCCCTGTTCTCTTCATTCATTGATTTTGTCTCAGCCATTCTAGAATCCTTGATGCTTCTAAGAAGTCTTTTGTCTTAAGGCCTTTACATGCCCCAGTCTCTCTGCTAAGATTTGCACACGCGTTCCTTCCCTTACGCCATATAAGCCTATTTTCAAATGACACATTACTAGTGGGGCACTTTGATCACCTTACCAAAACAGCAATACTGCATCATCACTATCTCTTTTTGCCCTGGTTTACTTCTTGTTATTACCTTTTTTTTTTTTTTAAGATTTATTTTTATTGGAAAGGCAGATTTACAGATGAAGAGGAGTCAGCGAGAAAGATCTTCCATTCACTAGTTTAGTCTCCAAATGGCTACAATAGCCAGAGTCGAGATGATTCCAAGTTCAGAGCCAGGAGCTTCTTCCAGGTCTCTGATGTGGGTGCAGTGTCCTAAGGCTTTAGGCCACCCTCCACTGCTTTCTTAAGCCACAAGCAGGGAGCTGCATGGGAAGTGGAGCAACCAGGACATGAACCGGCACCCATATTGGATGGTGGCACTAATAGGTATAGAATTAACCAATGAAACTGTTGCATGGGCTTCGCTCTTTATTGTATCAGCACTTGACAGATACCTAGTTCTTTACTCCTACCCTGTTGTATGTAAATCCTTGAGAATATATATATGGTTTGTTCACTGCTATCAGCTCAGGGACTAAAATACTGCTTGGCATATAGTAACTGATAAATGGAGACGAGCATGTCAATCCTCGCTTTGGAAATGAGGAAACTGAATAAAAACCAGTTAAATCCTCACTTTGGAAATGAGGAAACTGAATAAAAACCAGTTAATAACTTGCTCCAAGTAGCAAAGTATTTTGGCTTA